AACCCTGACATTTCCCTGAACTACAGTACAATACTAATGATAATAGAATTTAGCATAGCGTGTGTTTTGACCATTTGATCTACAGTAAAAGTTTAGTTTTTTAGTTTTTTTTTTTTTTTTTTGGAGTGGAGGGGGCATACCCTTAAGGAGGTCACTTAGTAAATACCTCCTCCCCCTTCAGTCCAACAACCAACGTCTTACAAAATGTGGTTTTGACAGAAGGTCGGAATGAAACCTCAAGGGGTGACTTCAGCAAATCCACCTCAAGGGTAGTACTAGGTTTCTGAATAATTCAGCAAGGGTAAAAATAACTATTCACGCCGTGCCGCCTTAAATCGCAGCTCCTAAAATATGTGCTGTCCCCACTTAATGGCTTCCGGCCCTCGCCATTCCTCTGTGTTGTTTCTAGAGATTTGATGGTTTTATAAATATAACACATTCTACAAGGGCAGGTCAGCCGGACAGCACTAGCTCTGATGTTTTGGCATCAAACTTGCTCATTTAGGCATAAATGTATTTATATATTTAGTAGTTAATTCATTTAATATTTCCACATAGTGGCATGTGGGCTTCTGGAGGCTCATGTTACGTTTCTGGACGTCTGTGTCCTGTGATGGAGTTTCATCCTGTCCAGGGTGTACAGCCTAATTTCCGATGTTGTCTGGGATTAGCTCCAACACCCAGCCCCCCCGCCCCCCCACACTATTTTCTGACCCTGAGGAGGATAAGCAGCTGGAAGTCGGATTGTTGGATTTCCTCGAAGTTGATCTGCAGGCAGTTTCACTCATATCTCGCTATTCTTTCCACTTGGATCGGACGGCCTCGTATTTCATCATACGCCGGACTTGAGTTTTCACTTATTTGCGACCCTGAGGAAAATGAAAGATCACGCGTCTCGAGTGCACGCCCCATTTCCACATCTGTTAGGGCGTTAATTCCCCTCCGCAGCCGAGCCTTAAGGGAGGAAGCCTGCAAATCGCAATGCAAAATCGGACTGGGAGAATTGGCGACGTCAGAGGGAACAAGACAAACTGGGAACAGTATGCGAAGAAAAAGTCAGAACTAAGAATGAAAATGATACATTCTCAATTTAATAAATAAGCCAGTGGCCCCCATGACATATTTTTAGCATATGTAAGGCTGTATGATCCCAGCATACGCTGCGATCCTGTGATTATGCGCCTGTTTATATTTGTGGTGCTTTTTCTACGTATACTGCAAGATTTTTTTCTGAATATGAGACAAAGTTGGAAAAAAAAGTGTGATTTTTTTTTGGCTCACAGTTGTGGAGTCTTCCTGCTCTTACTATGTCCGGCTCCTCAGACATGTCCTGCCAGCTCTGCAGTGGGTGCGGCAGACTGCCGTCTCCTTTAAAACGTCTTGAGCTGGAAGTGCACAGGCGACTTCCTCCTTACAGCACCGAGGGCTGGCTAATGGGATCTGAGTAGGTGGATGTTCTCTTCTGCCTGCCACACCAAGGACAGTTAGTCCTGGTGAGGGGGCTCCACCTAAAAAGAAAATCCTACTTTTTTCCTTCCGTCTCTGTTCCTTTTGCTCTCAGATCAACTTAACTTCGATTCTGCTTTAAAAAGTTCAGGAAATAAGAATGAATCTGCCCAGGAATTCAAATTCACTCATCACTGTGGGAGCAGTTTTGAAACAGATGAATTATCTCGACCATTGGAAGAAGATGATAGTCGACCTTTTTTTTTTTTGGACTCGTCTGGCCTCCTCTGGGGAGTCGGTTATTTTTTGGAGAGCAGAGGAATGATGCCTAGATCATGTTAACCATTGTAGTGCCTGCACATTTGGAGGCTGCTGGATTTCTGATGTTATTCTCGGGCCCTTGGTTAGAAGAGGCGTATCTCAGGGTTCATGAGCACAGTGGGGAGAAATGTGGGCGGTTTGTTTCAGGCCATGAGCTGGGGTAGGGAGATAAAGGAGGGAAGCCTGTTAATACCCAGTCACTGTCCTCGGGAGGCACTGACACTGAGCTAGCAACTCCAGCTCCTCAGCACAGTGAGCAAGTGCATTCAGAAACACCTTACTTAACGATGTCATCTATAATGCATTATTAATGCCTTCATAATGCATTATAATGGCCAGTATAATAATTAAAAAAGCATTTTAGCATCTTCTATTGACAGTTATTAAGGGTATTATAGTGTTGATTATAATACTTCATAAGCTCTAATGAAGCTCTGATCTATAATGCACTGTAGAAACCTCCATAATGCATTATAATGGTCAGTATAAGAATTAGCTCTCATTTATAATGCACTGTAGATAGCGTCATAAGGCATTATAATGGTTGGTATAGGAATTATGGATGCTTTGTACTGGGGTGGCGTGGTGGCACAGTGGTCAGCACTGTTGTCTCATACCTCTGGTACCTGGGTGTGAGTTTGCATGTTCTCCCCATGTTGTCGTGGGGTTTTTTCCAAGTACTCTGGTTTCCCCCACAGTCCAAAAATGGTCAATGAGGTTAATGGGACTTCCCAAATCATGAATGGGGTGTGAATGTGCCCTCCAGTGGGTTGGCACCTCATCCTGGGCTGTTCCCTGTCTTGTGCTTCTGGGAGAGAACCCTGCCCCCCTGCCCCCCCCGTGACCCTAAATAGAACAGGTGGTTTCAGAAGATGCATGGATGCTTTGTACTGCATTATGATGGTATCTATAGTGCAGTATAGATGTGAACTTCAAAAAGCATTTATAAAACACACAGCTATCATGTGTTATGCCTTTTTATAAATATTGCATTATAATGTGTTATGAATGTGTTCATAAATTCTTATAGACATGGCATTCATGGAAAGTGTCACTGTGCATTCGTAGATGACAGAAGAGCCTGATAGCTGGGTCGGTTGGAATAGGTTAGAGATTGTGCTTTAATTATGAAGCACCTGGGCTTGAGCCGGGGAGTCTCTCTGGGGGGGGGGGCTGTATGGTCAGTGGGTTAAGAGGATGTGCCTCTGGTTGAAAAGTTGCCAAATGCAATCCTAGGGTGGGTGGTTTCATGATTAAGACTCTAAGCAAGGCCCTTAACGCCCTTAACTCTCTAGGAACAGTCGAACCCTTCCTTCTCAGTTCTATGTTACTTTAGACGCGTATGTCTGTAACATAAATTAAATATTTGTAAGATCATTCAGAGACCTCACGGCTTGCAATTAGAGTAGCGTGTTAGCATTTCTCCCTGACTTGTTGTAACTGTAAAAAGCTCCTTGTGACAGTTGTGATCTAAACGGCAGCGGTGAGTCTCCTGATAACCTTTCAGCCCCCACTTGGCACAGCAGAAATTCCTCTCACCTTCTGTGAAAGTGATAGTTGAGCAGATAGCAGATAAGTTAACTGAAACAGGCTCCTGCATACCAACGCATTTTCTGTAACTGCTTGTCCCCTTCCCGAGCCTATGGGTGCAAGGCAGGGAATAACCCAGGATAGGGTGCATCGCCGGGCACATTCACACACCATTCACTCACCATTCACTCTCTCACACACACCTACAGGCAATTATGTAACTCCAATTCACCTTAGCATGTTTTTGGACTGTGGGGGTAAACTTGAAAATCCCAAGAAAACTCCATTACAACACAGAGAAAATACACTGTCATCTGCCTAACATATTAGATTTTGGATCTAGCTGTTTTGAGTAGCCAAAACATGGGATATATAGGGATGAATGAAGTGCATTTTGTACATGGAGTATTCATGTCATTGCTGGTGAGGTGGATGGTGTTCGGTGAAGCATCGAGCATCTATTGACACAGACGAATGCTAAGTAAAGCTATTGCTACTTATCTATCCCAGTTTAAGCCAACTCTGTCATGCTGCCAGCCTGCTGTAATGTGACGTTGATGCCTGTTGTCACAGTGTCATCGTTTGAAGCTTCCAGTGACTAGTTCCTTCATACCTGAGGGTTACACATTCAAAGCCCAACATCACAGAGTGCAGAGCAATGGTTGGCACATGGACAGATGTCTCTGTAGACAAAGAAGAATTTATAGCTCATTTCCATATCCATATCCTTACAGAGGGGAGTGTTGTGGTACGTTTTACCAAACCAAGGAGGGGAAATTAATGGCCGCTGCCACGGTTACTGACAGTGCGAGTGCTCCGGCACCTGCGGTTACCATGGACTCCTTTGTTGTCACGGAACGGCAGAAGGAACAGCCGCTAGCTTTGCTGTAGGAGTTCTGGGGCATTTTCAATGCTAGTTTGAAGAAAAAAAAAGAACTCTGGCTGTTGTCAAATGATTAAAGATCACAGCGGGACACGAGAGAGCGCGTGCAACTCGCAACACCTGTTAAATGCCGAGGAACCAGCGCGGAATCTCACAGGGCTGTCAGGGTGTGTTGTCGAGGAGACAACTTTGACTGTATCTTGGATTCCATCCACTTACTGTTATAGATCACAGTCTGTGTAACTCTTAGATGTTCCTCGGTTGACTTGCAAGGTTGTTAGGTGCACTTACAACAGAACTATGCACACAGGGACAGGCATAAATGGATATAATCATATTTGCTCTCCTGGGAGCCCTCATTTTGGATTTCAAAAACAGGTTTGCCCGATTCATTGAAAAGAACTGGTTCAAAAGGACGATTCGTTCACAAATCATACAACACTATCATTCATTTGAATAGTTTTTGCATGCAAGTAGTGTTTCTCGCTAAGACCATAGCGTGATGTAGGTTGTGTAGTTTTTTTTTTCACTGAAATTGATTTGATATAAATTGAAATAAGTGCAGTGGTAACATGGATGTTAGCTCCCATGTCTAGACTGTCATGCTGGAGGCTACGAGATACATCGGCAACTTTGTCTTGTCTGTGGAACATCTTTTTTAGACTGTGATGTACAGAATCCACTGACACGTAATCAGTGTGAGTTGTTTGAATATGTACATGGTCTGTACGTCTTTTATCAACCAAAGTCCTACTCAAGACACAGCAGGACTACTCACAAGTTTCCCAGAGATGTGATATATGTATTCTCTCTCACAGCCGGTTCTGTAGTGTAGTGGTTATCACATCTGCTTTACACGTAAAAGGTCCTGGGTTCGATCCCCAGTGGAATCACTTGAACCTTTTAATGCAAAATCCTTGCTTATTAAATTATAGGATGTTCCTTATCCAGAATTTCCCCCCGAGATCAATGAAGCTCATTGTTACATGTCCTTCCAACATGTATGCCACATGATGATTAAATGTTTCTTTTACTATTACATTTGGGAACATGGAAGCTGTGAACTCTGTGCTGTGATCACCCCCCCCCCCAGCTGAGGACAGGACAGGCAAAATGAAGAAATTCCCCATATATCCATATATATGTGTCTGTTTGCCCTCCCCCGGAGAGACTGATCTCTGATAAGCAGACTGACATTGATAAGGACACGTCCCTCTCAGATACCAGTGGGCAGTTTGTTTGATTAGCATTCTGATAATTAATGCTCATTTTATTTATCAAAGAAAAACAAAGAGATTGTAATTTTAGCTATTTTCTTTGGCACTGTCCTTACCCATCTATCCATTTTTCCTACCTCCGTGTTAGGGACAGAGGAGGGGTCTCACAGCAGGGCGCAGTAAAATTTGGCAACATGGTAAGGGGTTGGTTCTTGGTAAATTGTTGATTTTGCACAATTGTCTGTTATCAAAAGGGGCCCTTGGTAACGTTTGCCGGGTGGGGTGGGGAGGCCCCCTGCAGTAAATTTTGCAGTGGGCCCCCTGCAGTGACGGGTCCCTCCTGTCTGCTGTTTCCTCTATTGCCGGGTCGCAGAAGCTACGTGTGCAAGGCAGGGAATATCCCAGGAGCCACAATCATACCTACAGACAATTTGGCACCTCCAGTCCACCAGGAAGGAGGAAACCCCAAAATGATGACATGGGCCGAACATGTAAACTCCACACATGGGTGAAGATTCGAACCCTGACCTCTCAGTTGCATGAGGCTACTGTGCCACCAAGCTGCCCTCCGTTACTGCCCTGATCGTAGATCACATTCATAGGAAAGGATCGATATGTTTTGGTCTGTATTTCTCACCGTTTTTGTCATTTTCCAATCACATGTCCACTCCATCTTCTTCCCATTTACACTGGTTTTGGTATTTAACCATGTATCTGTATGGCTTGTGTATAATTCTGTGCCTTCTATAGTCAGCCATTTTTTTTCTGTCTATGTAAAAGCGTTTTCTATATTAATCAGGCCCAAACACGTCCGCTGTCACTGTTCAGTCTGTCAGAGGTTGTCCCAGCCTTGCTGTACTGACATATATCTGATATTTATTTCCCTGAGAATGCTTCTACTTCGTAGGGTGAAAATTTAACATGCTATATCCTTAATACATGTATAAACTCTATCAAAAGAAGGTTCACGTTGATATTAAATTGTGAAAAGTTCACAGAGGCCTTTTTCCATCTCCAAATGTAATGCAGAGCTGAAAAAGTCCTTATTAACATTACTGTAAATGTACTCAGCAGCACAGTTAGTTGAGATACATGCTTCATTACCCAGGACAGAATATGCGCGTTGCCTGTGCTCTTTGACACATGTGCAGAGCATAATGACGACTCCAAGTCAGAGAAGCACAGAGGGTGAGATGACCTTCATTAATGCTCAGTCTGAATAGTTCACTGTGATTCCAGCTGATTCTATTATGAAAGCCCTTCACTGCTCTCTAGCTGTTTATCAGGTCTGGCATCCTTCAAAGACAATTCCTGTAAAGTGGATCAAACGCCCCTGAAGGAGACGCCGAGAACCGGCTTTGTGCTGTTTCGGTAACAGCTGGAACTCGGCTCATTCTTCCTGTGACAAAAAAAATGGTCCGTTTGATAAAAAAGCAGCGCAGTGCTACGATTTCAGGGTGGGTCTGGACTGGCAAGATCACACCGTCTACGGCTAATGAAGGCAATGCCTCTTGGTAGCTGAATGATATGAGTGAGACCCCCGGGCTGAAAACAACCTGCATTTACCGGCTTACTGACTCGCAGTGGATGAATTCTCTCTCATTCCCGCAGTCTCCTTTAGCTCGGATTGTATCTCTGTCAGTCTACCCATGCAGCGATGACATATTTGTTTGTACCTCTACTTTTTTCTCAGGGGTATCTTGGTCAGTCGTTGACCTCGACTGAACTAGTTTTTTTTTTCTTAACATAAAGTCTTTCAACTGCATCATCTGACTTTCAAAAGGCAGCGCAGTCATAGCTCAAAGCGAGCAGTTCTCCATTTCTCGCCGCCTTGCTTTCTGCCATACTTAATTCACGGCTTTCGCTCCAAAGGCGTATCCTTACAGGCCTGAAGAGAAGCAATGGCGATACAACCTTGGGGGCTGAAGGAAAGAAAAGGCTACAGATGCCCAGGGTTGTCACTCTATAAAACATAGATTAGCTAAGAGAAGAGGACCGGAACCTTCCGGAAGGGAAATTTTCACCTAGCAATCCGCTTGATATGCTTCAGAATGTGATGTAGGAGTTCAGGGGAAAGAAATTGAGCTTTCCGAAGGCGAAATTTATCGCTGGGGCTCAGTTGCAGTACTGGAGGTGCTCCTGCTCTCACTCCTCGCTGGAGTGGTCTGATAAGACGTCACTCCCCATAATCTCCAGGCAGGTCCAGGCTGCGGTACTCCCATATGCGAGAGGTCCACGCTGAAGTACAGTATGCCCACATGCAGGTCCCAGACAGAGAGTCATAACCTCTTACTGCCCCTAGCTTCCCCAAGGCAACTCGATCATGAGAAGAAATATTTTTCATTCCCCACACAACAACAAATGCGGCAATGATATTTTTTATTTTTGTTTGCTTATGGCTTTTGGTTTTTCTTTTTGTTTGCTGTTGACTTTACACAACCTTTGGATTGCTGTCCCCACTGAGGCTCTCTTTCTATATATTTCTCTTTGCCGGGTCTCCTAAGTCCGAAAGGAGTTTGCATTGTGCTAAAGTGAGAAAAGGCAAGTGATGGTTAGTGAAAATGGCAGCCAAAGACTGAAAAAGCCTCTTTCCAAAGTGCCAAACAATCTAGCTCACAGTGGACCCTTTGTCGACAGGTCGCTCCCGCTAAAAAGTGAGAAGCGGCAAAACCTCATGAAATTTTTTTGTGCACATTCCCCTAAATCGATCCCAATGGGAAAGAGGTCCTACTGAAGTTCAGGGAAAGAGCTGGTCAACCCACAGGCTTTTCCACCAGGATCAGCACTTCCCCATTCGCATGTTGTAAAATGAATTGACACAGAGTGATGAATTGCTCACAGTTTATGCAAATTACAGGACGGCAGGTCTTTGCGTGTTACTCCCGTGGACGAACGCGGCAGGGATTATGTTTGCTATATGCATTGCAGCACAACTGAAGAATTTTGCAGGTTCCTCAGTCACTCAAAGCAGCAATTTCATTCAGCCATTGAGCAATAAAGGAATTATTAAAGTTTTTTCTGTTAACAACAATACACTATAATAACCCTTCATAGTAGCATCCACCTTCCTTGATGTTTGAATCATGAACTAAAGATATATGTTTCAAACGGACAAATTCAAATGATAAATATATACGGTGCAGCATAGGGTACAATGCTTGGGTACACCAAGGACAGGACGTACTCCACTGCAGTATTATAGAATTATGCCCTGTACATACTATTACAAAAACTTTGGAGTTCTTTAGTGGTTTTTTTTAACCTCCATAAATTATTTTCAGCAGCACTAAAAAACTATTTCACTGTGGCGTGATACACTTTAAAAGGAAAGCCTATGTATTTTTCCTCAGACAATAAGGCAGTGCAAGGCAGGGATGGTGCTTTACAATTCAAGGCACGGGTATTTTTCCTGCCATACTGTATATACTCAGTAGTAATAGATGACTCTTTCGGATTATTGCAAACATGTTTTCCCAATAGTAAGTCACACACTGTGAGTAGAGGTGCTGTGTTCTGTTGCTTCTAGAGATACATTTGGGGAGCTCCGGATCCACCTCTGCTTTGTTTCTACTCTACGCGAAGGTGCCGGCACGCAGTCCTCTGTCTGCCAGCTTCACGCTTCTGCGCAGCGACTCTGGGGACGTCTTTCAAGTCAGACAACATGCTGCCAGCTGTCAGACGACGCACTGAGGGGTCTGAGGGGGAACACTCGCAGCTGTCAGAGAACTCTGCTCTTTCCCACTTGCACCCAACACGACGACACGTATAACGGGGGGGGGGGGGCAACAAATATGCGACTTCGCAGTTATCGCTCGCGATGTTCTGATTTGTAAGCACTTCACTTCCAGCTGAAGTTTGTCTTACTATCTGTGGCGATTTGTAATGGAGCAGAGCATTGGCATTACGCCCCTACCAGCCAACCAGCTTCTTTCCTTTCTTGTCATAGTAAAGCTAAAGGTCTGTGTACCTCCTGAAACATTTTTTTTTTTTATTTTTAAAAACCTTTGCAGATCCCTGCATTTCCCCAGGTTGTATAATGAAGGCATGTGCCCCTCTGGTGCCCACAGGAAGCAAGAAAATCCTCCAATACTGAGACAAAAAAAAAATGCTGTATTCATTCATTCATCATTAATTTCTCTCTATATTCTAGTTTCTCACCAGAATCTTTTTTTTTCTTTTTTCTTTCTAGAATGTTTATATACTGCAGATACTGGCTGATGTCAAAGGACCTTCTAACTTCTAAAGGGAGTTAACTACCATGTCTTGTGTGAAAACGATATTCCGGGAAGGTCATTCGAGTCATTTCCCAACATCTCTAACCAAAGGCAACACATCAATGACAAGAAAAAAACACACAAGATCAAAGTTTCAGCAAGACCTGTAATAATCACTGTGTCCAGCTTAAAAAGAGCAAAGTATGTAAGAAGTGATGCAAGCATCAATCCATTTAAGCATGAAAGAGTCTCCGTTGTCTGTAGTTTCATGAATGCTTATAAATATCAGATGACATAAAATTAGGTGTTGCAGCAGGCATAGGAATTACTATAAGATATTCTGCAGAGTGAACAAATATAATTAATTGTGATTAAAAAAATATTTACTAATAACAATAGTGAGCAATTGTGATAAAAAATTATTTACTAATAACAATAATGAGGCTTTCTGCAACACTATTCCTTTTGCATAAAACAACAGGCCTGGCTCACATTGAATACTAACATACTGTTTACCTCCATCATTAGCAACAGAAACTAACGTAGGAATTGTAACCACTGTCACGTGTGTCTACAGTTGGAGCTCTAGGGAGTTGAAACATAGTTTTCATGTACCCCCACCCCCTAAAACCCCCCCTCTCTCTTCCTGTTTAACTCATGAGGAGGAGGAGACGAATCATGCACTCGAAATGCCATTACTTCTGAGTCCTTTGCAATGCTGCACAGATGGGCCGAACAGAAGAAGTGCATTTTGGGTAACGACATGCGAACAACAGACTAATGGCACGCTGTACCTGCTGGCATGGTGAGGTTGACTTCCTGTGAAGGGCTAGTCCATGTGATCGTGTTGTCCCCCATGGTGTGCTTCTGCTAGGGGGTAGGGATTGAGGGGGACAGCTGGTGTGCCGACTCAGAAGTATGGCAACAGTGCAGGTCACAGACACTGCTCTGGTATCAGATTGCTACAACAGGGAGGAAAAGGAAATCACACATGTCAGAGCTGCTCTCTCTCTCTCTCTCTCTCTCTCAGACGCAAATACTAACTTTACAGTGGGTGTGGCAAACATGCCATGTAAACTAGCGTTCACTCCAAAACATGTCCTTCCCGTTCTCTACGATACTACGTGACTGAAAAGTAACACTAACAGGCCACTTTTACTGTAAGTACTACTAAGTGGCTAAGATAATTCTCAGAACTGTACTACCTACTAAATTGCTAATAGGCTAATTGTGTGCTATTAAATGATACCGTTCTTTTATTTGCACTGTGAATATTACGGAATACCTTTTGAGAGCAATCGGAAGACTGTACTGTATGTCAGCCGAATCATTTATCTCAGGCACCTAGTTTGCTTTCCAGATACATGTTCCACAGGACCCATGTTCCACAGGACCCATGTTCCACAGGACCCATGTTCCACAGGACCCATGTTCCACAGGACCCATGTTTCACAGGACCCATGCCCAGAATATCCATGTTCTGGTTTTGCTAAAGCTGCTAATAGCCGGGTTTCTCCTTAAGGAAAACAGTTACTGATGCAGTTTTCATTCGACATCATGGCAAATAATAGCCAACGTAAAAACACGAAAAAATACTCTGGGAGCGTTCGACTGTGAGAGTCTTTGTCATCTGAAAACTATTGGAGAACTGGAAAATGCTAAATTTGACCTCAGTGATAGATTAGGTTTATAAATTCCTGGCACAGTTGCAATATTCATGTAATACAAATATGCAACACTGTTCTTTTGCATATGAATCTTTCATATACATTTATCTAAGAGGGCTGTCCGTGCAAGTTTTTGTGTACAGCAGAGTGCTATAATATCTACAGTATATGGATATTAGAATAGAAAGAATTTAGCTGAATTCATCAGATTTTTTCTGAAAGAATAATTGAGATTACTGACTGGAGAGACCAATAGGAAAAAATTGGACATGCATTTTTATACTGGAATCACAAGAGGACCAAAGTCAATTACGGGTCACATTAAATTCTAAGTCTGTTTTAAATCACTTGCATAGTTTATTTGACATCAAATGTGAACTAGCACACTTGTTTCTGTTACATAGAAACCCTATGGCTTTCATTCTTGTGAGGATTCATTTTTACTATTCATTCAGTTCATTAAAGTCAGATCTGACTATAACACGAAAAACTTTGTTTCTTAATTCCAGTTTCTTGGCAACAGAAAAAAATGCATAAAAAAGATATGAATTACTTGTCATCTTGTCCAGTATTCAGATGGATAAACTATGCAGCTGTGTTTGCAAACATGGAGAATAGGTGTGTTTCAAAAGAGACAGAATGTTTCCCAGAGACAGACCAAGTCCAGCTAACAGATACACTGTACAGTGTATCACAGGGCAGCCAGCCGGCGTTCATTCGCTTTCTCTGTGACTTTTACCTATAGTTACATCATTTAGGGAAGTTGGAATAATTAGGAGAGAGCACTCACCAGACTTCCAGATGGCACAGCAACAGGTTTCCTGTGAGCTTCTCAGTCTTTGCTGGGAGATGAAACCGTGACAGGAGAAGTGGAACGGCAGGAAGCGGCTGCACTTTGAGTTAAAGTGACGCCTCTGTCTTCTCCGGGGCCTCAGAGATATGTTTTTTGAGGGGGGTGCGGGCCTGATCTGTTGCCCCTGAACTTTCTCTGTTGATTCCCTTGCTAATTATTTCTTGCTCTCAGCCAATCGCTCGGCTGACCCCTCCCTCTGCAGTATAAATGAGCCCCAGCTGCTCCGTGTGCAGCTTCAGCCCGAGGATTGGAGACAGGAAGGAGGAGGCGTGGACGTCAAACTTAGTGTGGGCCGCCCCTCTCTTTAAAAGCTTGTCTTGGGTGTTTTCAGCTGGTGTGCTGCTAGAAACAGAAAAGAAATACTCAGAAGGGAGAAGTTTAGTGACTTCACTAGTTCTTGATTAAATAACCATTTGTATCGCTGGAGTCCTGCTTTTTTCTGATCTTCTGCCCTTAGGTACTGTTTACCTTCTGCCCTTAGGTACTGTTTACCTCGCGCCTGTAATAGCCGGGGTGCAGTAGGGGTATGGATACCCTTGTAAATTCACGGGCCCCTGTGCTTTGCACGGGCCCCTGAATATGTAAAATTATAAAATGATGCAGTGTAAGCTTTTTAAATCCAAGGTGACATTTTGTCTGTGGGCTCAGACTTTCTATCTATGCCCTTGGTAACAACTGAGAAAAGATGACACGTTTTAAGATGTGATCCACCTCACTCCTTTGGGTCAATATGTGATAGAGTGTGTCCTGTTATACAATGCAGGCTTTATCCCATCAAAATTTCTTTGCTATTTTCAGTCAGCCACAATTAATCTCAAAACTACTGTGCGCTCCTGGAGTCATCTAATTGAATTCAAGGCTGTTCGCTTTGGCTCGACACAATTACAGAAAAAAAGTAATTTTGCTCTTTAATAGAGTTCTGTTTTCTATTGATATTTATTGCCGAAAAAGTCCCTCGTATAGGCCATCAAATTATATCTGAGTCAATTAGTTGCCTTTTGGCATTGCCTGCACCCGTAAGCTCAAAAGAATCAAAACAAACAAAAAAAAAAACAGAGAAAATTAGTAACTAGTTCTCTAAAATATAAAAAGAATGAAGGAGAAAGGAAATTACATTTTTTTTGCTGAAGATGCATGAATGATTTTAATAAATTAAATGAAATGAGAGAATTCATAGAAAACCAACTGATTATTTCACATATACTAAATGCAAGCCAACTGAAAACTAGCTAAAAGAATGCGACCCTTGAGTTATAAAATGCTGTGCCATGTTTTATATGATCCTTAATGGCAGGTAATATGTCACATGCATGCAGATTATGATGCTTACATAGTAAATAAGTTATATTTCAAGTACATTGCTCTGACTATAAATTAGCATAAAATTATTGAATTTCTGTGGAATCTCACATAATTTTAAATAAGGAGTTTATGGCTTTCTGGTGACGTGACTGATGCATTGCACTATTTTTGTCATTCCAACCAAAACTGGTGTTTTCCACAGCTGTTTGCCATCAGTAACTGCATTAATATTAGATTTTGCGCTGACTTGCATTTATTTGCAAGGTTTTGATTGCGGCAAAGGAAGAGTGTAACTAGATCTGCTACAATCACTCAAACACAGATGCCTGGCCCCGGCTCATCCATCCATCCATCCATGCTGTTTGTCCATTACAAAATCCCAGGCTGGGCATCTCTGGGGACAACTGGGGAGGGGGGCTGGGTGGGGAGGCAGCTGGGTGAGGTTGTGCATCATGGGGACCTGGATGAGATATTTTTGTTCAGGGCCTGGGAATTATGCGCAGTGGGCCTGCTAGAACCTATCCTAGGAACTGTCCCAGACAGGGATGCCAGTCCATCACAGGACAAAAACTATGAACAATTTAAAGTGTTTTTATATAGCATAAGAAAACCTGCACCAACACGGCTGCCAGCTCCTCACATGCAGAATTCAACCCACAATAGCGGAGGCGTAACACTCTCCTGCTAACCACTGAGCCACTGCACCTCCTGAAGTAACGGGTATTTTTAAACGTAATTGAATTTCACTTCTATAAAAATGCTCTATGTGCCCGACAGTTTAAATTATACTGGAGTAGAACTTATTACTTCTGTCGCATAAACCTTGAGGGCTCTAGAAAAAAATCATTTTAATGCAATATTTCAAAATGAATTGGGGTAAATATTAAAAATGACACAAAAATCCAGCGTAATGATGCACAGACTCTCTGGTATGTTTGCACGTGCAGAGCTTTCTGGATGGTTTCCTGTTTAATTGGATTGACAGATCATGCAATTACTCAGTAGACAAAAGGTCACATTTAACGTACTTCTAGATACAAATACAGTATTTTATCATTTGCATGGATAATATTATATTAGCCTGCTAAATTAGCCTAGTTCTACTGTGCTGGAAGAGAATACCCGCGATGTGACAAATTTATCTGAGTATTAAGATATATTAGTATGTATTTCAAACACATTTTTGACCCCTGACATAATGTAGGAGTTTTGTGTATTTATATTTAAAATGGGATCTGTACAGATTTATTAACACTCCTTACTTTAGCGAAATGCACTTGTTTTAACAAGTAAATCCATAAAAATTTTATTTAGCAGATGCTTTTATCCAAAGCAACAAATGTTTTTGGGGGAGCCGGTCTGACACCCCCTGGGATTTGGGGTTTAGGAGCCACGCTCAAGGGCCCAATGGTGAAACTATTCTGCTGACCCTGGGATTGGAACCAATTACCTCCTGATCACAGACAGTGTGCTGTGGTGCCCCATGTTAGCACTGGAGCTAAATCCTGCCCCAGGCAGTGTGTGTGTGTATGTGTGTGTGTGTGTGCGTGTGAGCAATTCACACGTTCCCTCCGTGCTTTCCGGGTGTCCTCCTCACTTTTCCAAAAGACAGAATGATGGCCGATTGCGCGTTGAGCAACTGCTTTGCCAAGACGTGCATCACGTTTGACGTTTCGAGATTTCAGGCTCCTCGCCCGACATATTGACTGATTATAATGCTAAGAAAGAGGCGGTCTATCTGTAAACACAATTACTTTTTAATTGCTGCCATTTTCTTCATAGAAAAATAGGAACGGATGCTTATTGTGGGCCAAAGCAGATGCTGAGCAAACGGTTTGGGGGGAAACGTGTTCTCTGCAGGTGCCAGATGCTGCCTGATCACTGGGGCCGTTACAGTAATTACTCTGGAAAACACGTTGTCCTCCACATTCACTGCACACAGTGAATGGGGACACAGGGAATGCCCACAAGGAAACAGGGCGTGTTCTTCAATTAATATTTCATGCGCTTCTTTTTAATGGTTTCTCTACTTTCAATTGTTCCTTTACTTTCCATAAAGATGTCACACACCATGTTCTACCCAAATAAAAGGCTTGCACTATGTAGTGAAAGGTGTTTACAGGTGAACAGAAAGTGTATTGTAATCGAGAGAGACATACTACCATGGTTTCCCCGAAAATAAGGCCTAGCATGATTTTTCAGCTCGTAATATAAGCCCTAGTTACTATCCCATGGATTGTATGGTAACTAGAATCAGATGCTAGTATATGTAAACAGGAAATAATATTTATTTATTTAATATTTGAATACACAGTAGATTTTTGTTCATGAATAAATGTACCGTTAGATTGTTTACATGGAAAGATACGGTTAGAAGATGACATGATGTCCGTATTTGTGTAAATGTGGATTTTTGTTCATAAATACCGGTAAATGTAAGATAGTTTGCTGTACATGGGAAAATAAAACATCCCCTGAAAATAAGCTCTAACGCATCTTTTGGTGTCATGACACGGAGAACACGGACCAGGGAAACAGGCGGACGAAATCAGGAACGGGGTTAAATAACAGGGTTTAATGGGAAAACGTAAGGGCATAGGGAGAAAACAACAAAACGGAGCTACAAGACGGCACAACTAAGCATAACATTACAATGACAGAACTAGGGAAACAAACTCTGACGTGGACTTAAATACATCGAACTAATACAGACAATTGAAAACAGCCGTGAAACACTGGGAATCGACATGAGGTTAACGAGGGGGGCGTGGCACAGAAGGATCAGCACGATCGGGGTGTGACATTTGGAGCAAAAATGAATATAAGACCTTGTCTTATTTTCGGGGAAACATGGTATATTGTGATATTCGCCAGTTTGGAACATGATGCAATAATGAAGCTCTTAGATCAGAATGCAGTCTGGTAATGGTGTTTTTATTGATGGTCCTAAACAGGACTCAAAACTGCATAAATACAAGACTGAATCACACCAAAGGCACATGACAACAAGAGTACTTTCCAGAACACACCCTCGGACTGCGGAACTGAAGGGAGGTCACTGGATAAATGTTAGGTAATACACATGGTGGGTAATCCGCACACAGTTAAACACACAGGGATCAAGCACAAATCTAAACAGGACACCGATACAAGAACATGCAACACACAGAATAAGGCACGTTAACTACATACATGACATAGACGGGGGTTATTTACAGTGCAGCAGCGTGGCATGCTGGGACATATGCAAACTATGTGGTCAGCGCTTAGCTCACCGATGCCGCACTATGTATGTTTTGACTGTTAACTGTTGTTATCATATATATTGTAGGTTTTGACTTTAACTGTTGTTATCGTTCATATTGTACACTGAACTGAACATAAAATTGTCCTGTGGATATCTTTTTTGGGGAACCCATAACGGGTGTGGAGTTAGGGCTCTGTGTTCATGTGCAGAAGGCCATGGGTTTGAATCCCATGACTCACAGACTAATATATTACATCACTGCGGGGCCTTTGAGCAAGGCCCTTAACCACCACTATTTCGGGAGATGCAGGGTGACCCTGTCTTTTCACTCCAAGCTTGCCTCACTCACACAGCACATTGGACAAAAGCAAAAGCTAAATAAATAAATCTAACAGTGCAGTAGATCTCCCAGGCAAAATTACTGAGAGCCTCCTTTCTGCCCCCCCCCCACATTTACCTAGGATGCGTTAGCAGAGTCACAGGCAGTTTTCAATATAAAGGCTTTCTTCTTAGCACGCGGAGCATATCCAATTAACTCTGCTTTCATTATTCTTCACCTGTGTTAAATAGAAATTCACATTAGGAACTGCAAACTCCAAAAGAGGTATTTCAAGATTTTTTACAGAATTGTAAA